ACCTAATCAACCAGTCAGTTGTGCCAGATCCTCTAAATCTTACTAGATGCCGTGCAGGGCACCCGAGAGGCTAGATTTGGCATGATAACATTATTTAATTTCAGAAAATTGAGTACCGATTTTTCTTGCCAGATAATCTTGTGGTCACGGCGCCAGTGCTGGACTCAGTCCGTGTGCCATTCCTTTCCCTGGAGGTAGGTTGCTAGATCTCATCGTCACGTTTCTTACTGTGATTACTAATTATGGCAATGTTTAATAATGCTCCTATTTTAGTTAACTCGTGACAGTTTACAGGATGTTCTGAAGCGAAGTGCAGTATTCAACACCAAAAACCTGTTTGGACGACGATGCAGTCCGTGGAAGGTATTGCATGATCTCATTTGTGCGCGTCTTCTGTATCCATTGTCACAGGAGGAATGATTTAACATTATTTGCATACCTTTCGGCTACTCTGGCCAAGAATTGCCAATTGAAAGTACTATTGTGATAATGTTGCTTTGGTTTCGGTTAGCCTTCCTCCATTGTTTACAATATTTGCGATACTGGTATAAATATTCTTTCGTCTGAATTATTCTCCTAATGCGGATTGGTTTTTACTTTGATCTTCCATCACACGTGTTGAGCCTTTTACGCCTCTTCAGTGTGAGATTCATCTAAGACTGAGTGCGGCATCAAACCGATGCCCTCTTTTTTGGCTGCAAGAATTCGCCAAATGAGATCTTACCCGCACTGTTTCCCTTCCTGTTGATTCCGGCCCTACCACTGGAAACGGTACAGCGAAACTTTAGGTGTTATTGTTAAATTTTACTGCGTTGATAGTGTCAGTGTGAAACACTTCTGTCGTCTCCCAAAGCAAACTTCTAACCGAATCCCTCACTACGCTGGCATAGCGTATCAAAGTGTTTTGTTGTATTTAAGTTATCTGGTTGTGACTGATGTGAAGTAACAAATGCAACATTCTTTAAGCTGAAAGCCTTAGCCAATTATGTTTGTCCTGTAAGAACATCTGGAGCGTTACATAATTGTAACTGAGTAAAAAGGAGCAAATGTGTTTGCGTATGGGATTAATTTAAAAAATACTTGAATTGTTGGACAAAAGTGTTAATCGTTTGAGTTATTCATTCGCGCATTAAATTTAAGCCGATTTTCCGCAGCCAAAATGTCAAGCCAGAGTGGTAAAAAGATAGGTTGACCTAGAGCCTTTTAAAAGCGTAAGCCTAGTAGGCTACAACTATGTCTAATTTTGCAATATTAAAATGGATGCACAAGGAGTTGGTGGATTGTTTTTAATTTCCAAATTCCATATTTTTAGAACATATTACACAGGCTTCCAGGCAAACTTTTACACAAATTGTTTATTAGTGGCTAGGTCATTTAAATTTTTCTAGAATTTTATGAAGCAGAAAAAAGTGTGGTTTGAATTACTAAAGTCCATTAAATTATACACGTTACAGTTGCATGATCTCGAATTCTTTTGACTAGCGTGAACCAGGTATAATTGACCCAAGAATTCTTTTGGAAAAAATGTAACCATATTTTTTATTAATGTGTCAGGGATTGCAAATCATAAAAGTGATAAAAAACGTTATCAGTAATCCTCCACGTTAATATTTTGTAGCCATTTATTTTGTAGCGACCATAGGTTCATTATCCAACATGATTAGTTTTCATAATATTTCTAATATTTACATTTTAAAATTTAAAAATGGTTAAAACCTAGCTAATTTTATAACAAAATTGATTACAGAAACCATCTTCTTAGTATTTAAGTTATTGATGTTGCTAACTGATTTTTGGAAGACCCAACCAATGGCTGCTCTGTGTTCTTCGCGCCAGTATAGTGTCCATAATGACTACTCTACATTTGGTGGGTTTTTCTCATTCGTGTATGCTACTGAGGAGAGCTTCTGTTCAGTTAGTGGAGATGTTGTAGCTGCATTGATCCTGGTTGCTGAAATAACGATACATCGACAAGTGTATGCGGGCACTTGTCTTATCAAATAGGACATGCAAAGATTTGTCAACAATAGTTGATTGTGCATGGTGCGGTGATAAATAGTTGGTGGATTTGCTTGCATGTCTGAGTTGTTTCCCACAAAGGTGGTAAGAAAGCTGATATTCGCCTGTGTCCGGTGGTGTGGTGGACGTTCTTGTCCGCTGACTTGACTGAAGTGAGGCGTCTAGGCGGAAAGTGATCTGATTGCTTACGGCTCTTTTATATTGAAGCAATCGTGCTTTGTAGGCTGTGCTGTTATAGTATTCGAATGGAATTTCCTCGTGTTAAACACTGTATTGTTCAGAAACCACGTAGTCTTTTCCAGTAGATGTTAACTTTGGTGGCCAATGGTTTTGTTGTGGTACATACTGCCTTTCCCCACTTTAGCGTTATAAGCATGACGTGTAGGTGTAAAGCCGGGTGTACTCTTTTTACTTGCTGCTTCCTCACCGTGGTGAAGATTTTAGGCGTGGATGTATTGATTAATTTAACGTGGTGTAGGTAGACTCCATCAGATCCGAATTCGGACGTGACGTAGTGTTTGATTTATACATTTCACGCCTAGGGGCTATGTGAAACCAGCATTTCCTGTATTGCTATGTTCAATACTATTTTACACTCATCTTGTTACGTTAATCATTTATGTTGCAATTAGGTACGAAGTTTGTCCACTTCCGCAGTCTCCCGTGCAATAATTCGCGTGAGTTTGAGGAATTATATATATTTTCATGAAATGTTTCTTAATTTCGAGTAAATTTATTTTCTCCTGGTTCAGCCACCTACTCAGTTTTTCGGTGTCGATGGTCGGTACTCCACCGCCCTTTATTCTGCAGCTATTAAGTCAAAAACTCTCGAGACGGTTGAAAAGGATCTGCTTAAATTAAGGGATACCCTTGCCAAAGATGCCAAACTGCGACAATTTTGTCACGACCCAACAATCAAGCGTCATTCTAAAGTTCAGAGTTTTGGCAATGTCCTAAACAAACTGGGTTTATCCAAGCAGACTGGCAACATGCTGCGTAAGTCTCTGTGCTGATCTTTTTGCCTATTATAATTAGCCGAACTTGTTGGGGAATGTTTTCCTTCTCAATTAAATATCTAATGGGGAACTTGATTTGGTCGGGCTGTTTGAAGTCAGGCATATCCTGAGTCTGTGTTTTTATAAACTGATTTTGCGCACTCTGCTACAAGTTGAAAAACACAAGGATGCTGTCTATTTACTTTGACTTGTATCCCATTTTTATAGTAATTTTGGCTGAAAACGGGCGGTTGAATTTAATTGACAAAGTGATTGACACATTTGAGCAAATTATGACTTCCCACCGTGGCGAAGTGGCTTGTGTAGTGACAACAGCCAAGCCTCTGGACCGAACAACTGAACGCGAGGTCGCAGCTGCCCTTGAGGCGTTCCTTGAAAGGGGACAAAAGCTTAATCTCTCTCTCAAGGTTTGTCTTATTGAATTCTCATTATTCAATCATTTCTTGGAGTAGGAAATGTTAAACAAAAACAACTAGTTTATCGAAGAGAGAGAGAGAGAGAGAGGGAACACTTGTATTCGTACGCACATTATGTTTGTTTATTTGCATTTATTTATTTTAAAAGTAGTCATGCTGCATCACGGATGAGTGTGGTGTGGCGTTGCGCCTAGTTGATAGCCATAATAACTTGGATGCTGCTGGATCCTGTCACTTCGTTACAAAAGTCTTTCAAATTAACAGTTATTTTGTGCCTGTACATTTCAGGTCGACCCTGAACTGATTGGCGGCATGGTGGTGAGCATTGGCGACAAGTATGTGGACATGTCGATCTTGCGAAAATTGCGCTCCTACAGGGCTGTCCTTGAACAACCGGTTTAAATCGATGCCTCCTTTTCCCTCTTGTTTAGGTGCCCCATCTCTCTTTATACTTGTAGTGAGAATAAATTAAGGTAGCGTGTAATTGAGGCTTATCTTCTAATTTGGTCAAAATATGATTACATAAATTTAAGGAAAACAGCAGTAGTGTGAGCATTCTGTCAGCTAAGTTCACTAACATGTGACTTGGCTATAAGCGCACAGTTTTCTGAGGAAAGACTAGTCCATTTGTAAACTTGCAGTCGAATCATCTACTAAGGGCTTTCTGGGTGATAGTTTGACTAAAAGGGGTTCCGCTTGGGTTCAGAGTTCCTGACACGACGTGGTACTGAAAGGGTAGAGATGACCGATAAGCGTGTGGCCGCGTCTGGTTGAGAAATGGCGTGCTATCTATGGAAATTCGGAGTTTTTGGTTTTCGTAAAGTGGAGATGGGTCCCTTAGTAAAGTGTGTGTGAAATTTTCCAATTCTCTGGTTTGTGGATTTTCAAGCCCGCTATAATTTTGCCTCGGAAGTTGCTCTACAATTGAAATTGAGCCTGGACCGGACACCACTGCATCAGATCGTTGTGGTTTTTCTAATGCAACCAACTTTTTATTCCGAAAGCTTGGTTAAATGTTGTACCAGACGTAAATCACAGGTTATAAAAGTCAAATTCGACTCGCAGGCCCCCAGGTACTCAGGTCAGAATTCACCTCAACCACGTATTAGACGTGACAATCATGGCATTCCAGGCACTGTTTAGTGCTTTCGTGTGGGTTGTGCGCAATCGAAACGCACGAACCGTGCCTTACCACTGTCTTTTGATGAAGGTGAAATAAGAAGGAACAGGGATTGTGTTGTACAAGGCTTCACCCTACGACTTCAAATCCAAGTAGCATAGAATGCGTTTGGGACTACGAAGTTATGGCAAATCGTTTTTGGTACAAATCATGACAATGTTCTGGCTTTTCTAATAAAGATTGGCTGTTAGTCAGACACCGTGTACTTTGTGAATCCCTCTTTGGAAATTCACCAGAGCCACTTTTATATTCTTTATTTTATCTCCATTTCTGCCAAAAAGAGGTTTTACTTCATTTTGCTCACAGACAGGCTGGACTCGAGTGATACCGTCAATATTCGTCAGAAGGAACAGTTTTTTTTTAAAATAAATTGTAGAGTAATCAATTGAACAAATTTAGAGCGACAATTGTATCAGGTTTAAGAATAATCCTCCTGTCTGTTACCCTCCGGTCGCCTGCCTACCATGTTATCATTCGCGATGTAGAAATGCTTTTGGCTTAATGCAACCCGAAAATGTGTGTTTCCCGTCCACGTTTACCTTCTCATCTGATGATTGAGTTGGCCTTATTGTCAAAACCCATGTTTTTTGTGGTGAATCGGTATTTTGTCAGCAATACTGATTTCTAAACCTGAATCTAGCTGTTTACCCGTAAATCTAGCTTATCCTTTTGGGGGTCCTAACCCTTATGCTTATTAAATATAGCCAATTTTTAGTGCTTATCCTGGGGGATGTTCCTACATCCCAAATTTGTTGCGGATTGTTTCGTAGACAGGAAAGTCTGACTTATGCCATAGTTTCTTTATTTTTTCATCTACTATTGATCATTTAGAAGGGGCTCCATTTTACTTAGGGACTGAGCCAGACACTATGGTTTAAAGTTAGAAATAACCTGATCTAATCCATTTGTTGCCTTGACAACTTGTTTTAGAAAAGAGCATCACTAATACCACAGAATCCACAGGAGTATTTCTAACCAGAATGTGTTTATCATTTAACTCAGGTGAGTATTGAGGCACTATGTGTACATTCGTCTGCTAAAACACGGACACTTCTTAAATATTGCACAAATTTCCTGTCTGTAGTGTAAGCAGCATATCCAAACGATTATAGACGCTCACCTCTCAGTGTGCCCTCGAGTTATGATACTTACTTAAAGCAATATTTTGAAGCTGATGTTAAATAGGTTGGTGCAACCTTTCCTGTTGTAACTTTGAATTTAAGGATAAAACCACTCTGTAATGCTCCAGTGTTCAATGTAACAGGATTCTAATTTATTACAGTTGACGAGGACCAAAAGTTGGACTTTTAATGTGTGCATTTGGCTAGATCTCACCATCGGGGGTGGGTACGTTGCATCCCGCAGGACAATGAGTGCGGCCGTGAAAAATGCTTTCATCCGATAGAACATAAAAATTACGTGGTCGCTGTCACACAATAAATAAAATTAGTGCAAAAATTACCCGTTTTACTAAACCACGCGCCATGCCTCCTTTTATTGGGTTAGTAGTACGTTTTGCGGTTAGTAGTTCGTCAGTATTTCAAGAAGCTTGAGCGAGGAATGGATTACAAGAGTAATCGGCTTGAATTAAAAATGCGTCAGATAAAGTAGGATCTGGAGAAGCACTATATCTTCATCAGGGAAAAAACCACCACGAGCTGCCTGTACTGAGGGCATTTCGTCCATTATTTTTATTTTGTAAATGACGTGTTTCCTTGTAGCATTTTTAAAATTAAAAGTAGAGGCAACCAAATGGCCTACACCTCAACGTCGACCCTTCAACCGACCCCAAGGCCAAGAAAATGATCTCGGAAATACAATTGTTGGGGATCCACGATTCCCCAAGATTGGTTTCTAATTCTATTTACATTAATTTATTAACCTTTGTTTTGTTACGCTTTTATCAAGTCAAGGTCAACCTTAACTTGAATTACTTTCGATTTCACTTCTTCTCTGCATTTGGCTGACGTGAATGAAGCTCTCTACTCGAGCTCTGGTCTTGTTCTGGTATTAGCCTGGGAAGGTCGGTTCCAGCTTTCAGCAAGGGATCTGGTACCGTTATTTGAGTGGTCTTCTCTATTGTTACGGGCAAACGGAACAACAACATTTGTCTGACTAGTGTGTTTTCGAGCACAAATCCACAGCAGGATATGGCATACCTAGGAACTCGTTTGTTTTAAAAAAAATGGGTGTAATCCATTTGGTAATCTTCCCACGTTTGTAGATTTGTGTCGTTATAAGTTCCAACCTTATACGGCATCTGGGAAAAATGAGAAATAACGTGGATCTGCTTTATGCAGCAGCTTTTTTTGTACCAATATGAGAACCGACGTCGAATGCGAAATTCCCAAGGTCATGGAGATGAGTCGAGTCGAAAGCACACAGGAAGGCGGCTTGAGTTGGCATATTGTTTTGAGGCGAATTTTGGAAGCCTAAAACCCTTGCCGCATTTTACGCTTGGCTGTTTCTATTGCCGTGGGCCCCAGCATGTGGTCCTGAACCACAGACGTGTGAATCATTGGTGTGACGGGGAGTTGACCATGTGTCGGAGGCTGGAGTGATGGGAACAGCGAGTGTGAATCAGCGCTATTCACAGCACTACCTTTACTCACTCCCTCGGACTACCTGCTAGGCAACTTGGCCCTAACTCTCTGTATGCTCCAATGTTCACGTTGTACTCTCTCCGTACGTGTAAGAAAAACCCCACCGTAAATTAACGTCTACAGACTCACACTTCCTGCTGTTCACACATGCAACCTCTAAATACGTGGGAACAGGTACGGCTCACACACACTCAGGTTCAGTGACGCAGTAAACGGTCGGTCTTCTCATTATTCTCCGCTTACGTGGTTTCAGATCGTGCCGCAATAGCACTTTGACACTATTAAAACCACGCAGTTAGATTTATTGCTAGCTTCATGAATTTTCTTGGGTATCGCATAATCGAATCGCATGACCGCTTCAGAATAAGAAGATATGAGCGGAAATTTAGTTAGACTTTGATACTAGTATTTTCAACATTAGAAAAACTGACAAGGAAATCAAAAGCTTGCCAGTTTCTCCTCGTAGGGAACTGATTGATGAATGCTTGATCTGGATCCATGCAAAATCGAATTAAGACAATTAAGAGTTTGCAAAAGTGGTATTTAGTGTATTTTAGTGACTTAGTCACAGTTTTATTAGGAAAAGTAACGTTTTGAGTTTCCAATGCGGTTGCATTCATTGTACATATGGCTACTTAGTAATTAAAAGTACGCGCTTGCAATCACTTAATATCTGTCATTTATGGCAAGATAAACATCAAATTGGGAATTCGCAGTTACATATACTTATAACAAATTGGGAATGAAGAACAGCTGAGTGCGCGCCACATAATAATGTACCTGAAATGAAACGCAGATTTCCTGCTGCATTGTATATCGCACATTTTTTGTGTACTTCGCATTGAAGAAGTTGGTGTCAAATTGCATATTAAGGCAATCTGATTTGTTTAATTTTGATACCACAATTAGGTCCCAGGTAAATTACATCATAATCGGAGGTGTAGCTGACGTGCCTTACATTAATAGATTTGATCGATTTCTACAGGGTAAATTTGTAATGAGCCTCGTGTCAAAATGAGCGCTTGTTTATCAAGTAAAACTGCACCTAGATTTATAAAATAGTCCAAATTGCCGCAAACAAAATTTTCATGGCCCACCACAACTAATTCGGGAGTTCATTTCGAAATCACGATAAAACGTTCTTCACTCACTTTAAATTAAGTGTAAGATCAAAGTAACATTACCGATTATACAGTTTTTGAAGGATGTTACGCCATACATATTTCTCAGTCATGATTTGGCACTCTCTCTTAAATACTCAATTCACTACTCGCAAGTACTTAGTAGCCTAATTTTACATTTAACCGCAATGATCCATCCACCAAAAGCATTTGTGTGCATTTTAATTCCATTTACCCCCGCGAATCACCCTCACCAACCTATCATTTTTCTATCGTTTAGTTGCCTTGCGGGTGAAAGGGTTAGTTCATTCCAAAAAGTGTAAGACTAAACTTACTAAAACGCTAAAGTGCACACGAATTTGATGGAATGGTTTTTGAGTAAGCATAGAAAAATTACGCTAGGATTGGTTTCCCACGGAAGACTGGTTGGTCCAGGAGCGCCTGTGTTAGGCCATAAAACACTTAAATTGCTTTGTTAAAAAGTTGCTCATTTAAAAA